AAATCACACAGACAAAAGAATTTTCAAACTTATTCTCTTCAGTAAAAGAAAATCATGAATTCATAAACAAAATTGACACTCGACACAAAAACATCAACAAAAATTTACAGATCACAGCAAACACTTATTTTGAAAACTCTCACAAAAATAATCACTGATAATGGTCACATACATAAAGCTTTTTCAGATTTGAGTGAAGGAGCAAACTTATTACTACAAAATAAGTTGCCAGAACAAATTGTCCCATATAATGTCCTTCAACAGTGTATTAGTAACATTACCCTTAATGTTAATAGGAAAGGTTATTCATTATTTTCCTCTGATCCCTCTTTTTATTATGCAAATGCTAAAACACATGCTTTTCGTCATGGAAAAACAATTTTCATAAGCATGAATTTCCCACTGATTTTAAAAACAAAAATTATGATGAAATTTTTTTTTACAAAGTTTTTTTTCTATCCTGTCCCAAATTTAAAAAACACCTCGCCCCATGTCTCAAAAAGTAGTTGAACCTCCCTGATTTTTGTTGCCATCACAATGAATGGAGAATTTTACACTGAAATGAAATACTATTAGTCTCTCAACTTGTGAAAAATACAATACTAAAACATTGTGTCCATTCATGTTGCCACTACATCACTCCCTAATAATCCCTCATCTCTCTAAAGTTATTTAAAAGCAACAAAACTGAATATAAATGAACGTTGTGGACTTTGATTTCCTTTCCAACAAAATGAAACCTGCAAGTTTGCAGCTGAAATCGAAACGCACTACTTAGTAATATAATACACACTCAAGTAAATCTTTCATGTGAAGGCTCAAGGAAATCCCTTACAGGATGTCATTTTTTGTTTAATTTCTGTCCCATGCAATTGCTCAATAAACACTGCATCAATCTTTATCCCTCACAGGTTCTTGAACTGCCATCACCACTCGAAACCAATTACAATGCTGCACCCCATAAACCTTGCCCTCCTACAACAGTATTTTAATACAGAAGTTCTAGATTCAATTCAAGCACATACTACATACCCCTCACCATTGAACATTTCAGTTCCAGATTTTAATATTTTTGAACATCAGTATTCAAAAATAGTTGCCACCGAACAATATGAACACCTTAGTCTGAAGAAAATGGCAATGCAAGCTAAACAATATAAAACTGTATACACTTCCCTAGCTGACCCATTACTAGCAGGAAATATTAACACTGATTCCTCCTTCCCTTGGGTCACTGTGCTTGCCGCATCATCTACATCACTAACTGTAATTTGCACTATTGCTGTCGTATTCTTATTTAGAAAATATAAAAGGATAAACCAACTTTTGTTAACATCACAACTCTTAACACAAGCAAAGGCACTTCCTCTTGACCTTCCTAGTTTCATTTATACTACTCAAGCACCAGCTGTTACTACAGAAGGATTCCTAATTGACATTGATAGTATATCAAATTCAAATACCCTTACCCTTATTATTTTTGTTTCAATAATACTCACGTATAAACTTATACGGTATTGCTGCCGTTCCATCCAAACAAGTTCCCTAATACTAGAAGTTACAAATGGATATTCTTCGATTCAAATTCCTTGCCTGAAACTTCCAAAATGTATTCAACACTTGGATTTTCAAGGTACTAACTTTGTTAAAGAGATCACAATCTCACAGGACAAGTTCCCCAAATTGATTATTGATTTTGGAGATTTTAATATATATAACAGAATTACAAAGCAACATGTTACACTAATAACTTCCCACAGACTGAATCCACTCCAAGGTTACCAACTCAGATCTATCACAGACAAACCATTCCACATTGCACTATGGGTTAAACACAACCAAATCTGCACACCTATCTACCCTTTACAAAATTGCATATATAACAAAATCAGTTTAACCATGCATCTAACCTTATATCCAAACTTGGAGTCCGAAAAGCCATTATTACAAAATGCTTAAGGACAGATATCTATATTTCCATACTTGTATATATATATAAAAAAGTAATTTTTGTTCAATTTCGAACTGTACTTATTTTTGATCTTCATTTTTCATATTTTTTCTTCATTTTTCATATTTTTGGTCTTCGGTACTTTCAATTTTTGTTCATATCTGACTTTTTATATTTTTAACTTTCTTATGTCTAAGAAAAAGTATCTATGTACATATAATGAGGTTCAAGGGTCAATCCTACATGTCATGAAAATAAGGGTCTGTTCATCACACAGAGTTCAAACCAAGCGACAACAACGACACAGTGCCTTCCAAATCTTCAATTGCCAGTTCCATGTCGGAGCATGGATTTCTTCGGAAGCAGGGGATGTTGTCACACAGCTTCACACAGCTACAGCTGACAGCTGTCAGACAGACAACTCCCCCAAGCACTGTAGTGTATTTCAAAATGACTGTAGATGTTTACAAATTATTATATCATTTTAATGTTCATGTATATTTGTTTTATTAGTTATTTCTTGACAAGGTGACAGTTATTAGTCTACCTTTTTGGTATATATTGAGAGTCTTCAAACTGAACAGGCAGACTTCTATTTTACAACAAACTTGTGTCTGCTTGTTCAGGTAAGAATTTTTATATATTTTCATTTCTAATATTGTGGTATTAAAAACTATGTACTTATTTTATCTATAAATTTTGTGTTAAATATAAGTACTAACTGAAATTAACAGAAAACAACTTTCTTATATTATTGACTTATTGAATGTAAATTATTGAATGTAAATTATGTTTTATTTACACTCATTTGTATTTGTTAATACACAGTAATTCTTTCTATGTTTGTTAAATTAACTATCAATATGTGTTCATGACTTAACACCTGAATAGCTTGAAATTATACAATATATACATATCTTCTCTTGAATATCTAATGCTTCTCTTGTTTAATGATTTAATTATAAAATGAAAAATAAAAGACTTCTATTTTACAACAAACTTGTGTCTGCTTGTTCAGTGTAACCCAGCCAAATCCAAAGCAATTCAACACAAAGATCCCTTGTGAAAATAGTAAAAACTTAAAAATTCTTCTTTTAAAGAACCCAAAGAGCTAGAGCTAAGATATTCAGCATGAAACATTTTCTAATGAGTGTGTACCAAGTTTGTTCAAATAAAAGCCCTGGGGTCAAAATTTGCCCCGCCCCAGGGGGTCATTGATTTTCCCTAAATGCATATAGTAAAAACTTAAAAATTCTTCTTTTAAAGAACCCAAAGAGCTAGAGCTAAGATATTCAGCATGAAACATTTTCTAATGAGTGTGTACCAAGTTTGTTCAAATAAAAGCCCTGGGGTCAAAATTGGCCCCGCCCCAGGGGTCATTGATTTTCCTATATGCATATAGTAAAAACTTAAAAATTCTTCTTTTTAAAGAACCCAAAGAGCTAGAGCTAAGATATTCAGCATGAAACATCTTCTAATGAATGTGTACCAAGTTTGTTCAAATAAAAGCCCTGGGGTCAAAATTGGCCCCGCCCCAGGGGGTCATTGATTTTCCCTATATGCATATAGTAAAAACTTACAAAATCTTCTTTGAAAGAACTCAAAGAGCTAGAGCTAAGATATTCAGCAGGAAACATCTTCTAATGTGTGTCTACTTAGTTTGTTCAAATAAAAGCCCTGGGGTCAAAATTGGCCCCGCCCAGGGGTCATTGATTTTCCTTATATGTGTATAGCAAAAACTTAAATAATCTTCTTTGAAAAAACCCAAATAGCTAGAGTTTAGATATTAAGCATGAAACATCTTCTAGTGAGTGTCTACAAAGTTTGTTCAAATAATAGTCCTGTGGTCAAAATTGGCCCCGCCCCGGGGGGTCTTGATTTTCCCTATATATGCATATAGTAAAAACTTAAAAAGTCTTCTTTGAAAAAACCCAAATAGCTAGAGTTAGATATTAAGCTTGAAACATCTTCTAATAAGTGTCTACAAAGTTTGTTCAAATAAAAGCCCCGGGGTCAAAACTGGCCCCGCCCCAGGGGTGTCACTGTTTTTAACTATATGTGTGTAGTAAAAACTTACAAAATCTTCTTTTAAAAAACCCAATGAACTAGAGCTTAGATGTTTAGCATGAAATATCTTCTTATGGATGACTACCAAGTTTGTTCAAATAAAAGCCCTTGGGTGAAAATTGGCCCTGCCGGGGGGGGGGGGGCAGGGGGATGAGATCATTGTTTTTCATTACATGTGTGTAGTAAAAGCTTAACATTGTGAAACATCTTCTAATGAGTGTCTTCCAAGTTTGTTCAAATAAAAGCCCTGGGGTTTAAACTGGCCCTGCTCCGGGGGCCTATATACAGGTGAGCGACCTCAGGGCCATCATGGCCCTCTTGTTATTTTTTCCTTTCTTTCATTTGGCTGAATAATTGTGCAACTTGCAGAAAGTCAAGATCTTTCACATCTGGCTGACTAATTTTATCAATTGTTTAATGCGTCCGAGTGATTTTTAGACCCTTGATGACGGACCAATGTACTATTCTGGAAGTTCAAACATCCATTTTCCAAGGCAAATGGATTACATTTTTTGGTTGAGACGCAATGGTTGCATTTCATAAGTACTTAACCATTTTTCATTAAAACTACGTGATTTGGGGGAGCAGCCGACATGTTTTACGATTTATTTATAGCAACACATAGACTGGTACGCTTTTTTAAAGTCTACTAAATTCTAGTATGCGCTGTTTTATTCCGTATTAAACTGTAATTAATTGAAAGAAAGATAGCTCTGCTGTATTCAATATTAGAACCTGTCTACCAAATTACGTCATTTCCTGTAAAGAAGCGGAAGAAATTTCCAAATGACATTTACGGAGGAAAATTTAATTGGGTCCCCGAGGACACAGACTTAGAGTAATTGAGGGTCCTAGGTTACTATTTTTGCGTCAAGGAAGCAGGAAATGTGCATCAATAGAAACCCTGGAATATAAATATTCAAGTATTAAAAAGTATTTACATCCATAGTTATAAGTAAATATTTCTTCTTTTTATATCAAGATCATGCAAGCACAGAGGCAAAGAAAAGAAAGAAAGAGTTTTTCGAATATACTGATGATTCTGCAATGGCTCGAAACGTAGCGAAATCACTGATACAGAACAATGGTCTTGATACAAAGGATATGGCACGAAGGTATATATAGTTTATTCATTTAAAAATAATATGTACACAAATTCTTCTGTCATTAAACAAAATC